TTTAGCTAATCAAGCTCACAATGGATCATTAAACTACCAATACAACATATGAGTGAAATACTAGAGTCTACTTGAATGCCTCCCGGGATGGGAAGCTCACTGCTTCATAAAGAGCCTTGGACCCCACTGTTTGAAAGTTGGGACATTCTCTTAGTCTATTTATCTCCAAGTCTTCCCTTCAGACCAAAAAGCCCCAATCTCTCAACTTAGTCATCCCTCCCAAGAAAGAATTTTTCATTGCTTCCTGGGTACACTCAACTTTGTCTAACAGAGTGTGGTTTGATGACCTGTGAAAGGAAGACAAGATGAGAGGAAGAAAAGCAACTTGGACTGTCACTGTCCTAGACCTCGGTCTAACTCTTCCAGAGACTGCTGTGGTTCAAGGGGAAGCCCCAGATCTCCTAACTCAAGCTCACCTCCCAGGATAAGTAGGTTGAACACACACACACACACAAACACACACACACAGACACACACACACACACGCACACACACTGAGGAAACTGTCTCCTTCTAAAAATCAGTAGTCAGCCTGGTCATGCTACAAGGTAGGGGGTCAGTGACTACCAGCCTGGCTCTGCTCTTGGTTTTACATGTTCCCTTCTGCTCTTGGCCAAGGCACTGCACCAGCTCACTGGGCCCTGGATGATAGGAATACTTAGGATGATAGAATACTTAGAGGAGCAAGTAAGGTTCTCCATAGCCTAAAGTAGAAACTATGATAAGCAATGAATATAGAACACCTCTGGCATTTAATATGGCTTTGATAAAAGCTCAGTGCAGGTATAAACTCCCATACTACCACTCCTCTAGATCTCTGCCTGAGCCATTCCTTCTACCTTAATCTCTCTCCAGCCAATCTTATCATCTCCACAGATCTGAATCCTGCCAGCCCTACAGTCACCTAATCCAGGAAACCTTTTCCTTTTCCAACTGGACATGTCTGTCTCCCCACCCCTTCTTTTGTCTCCTCTACCTCCCTGTAGTGGGACACAGACCCATTCGTGAGAGAAACAAGCTCCCTGAAGGCAGAAAGCATCATCCAGAGCTTCATCTATCTCCTGCAGTACCTGGCTCCTTGCGGGAACTGTTGAGGCCATCCCTGCTGGCCAAGCTCTGTTATTCTGGGCAAATAAATGCAAGCCAGCCTAGAGAAACACCACCACTCAGAGGGCTAAGCAGCTCATCAGAGCAGGAGACATTTCTGGTGGCTTTCTCTGTCAGACAAGGGACAGACCTTTTCCTGGTTTAACCCCGTCACCTTTGAACTTCCTGGGAGGTCAACAGTCCTTTCCCCTTCCCCAGCTGTCTCTCTGTCTCTAGCCCTATGGGAGAGAGGGCCCTGGGCCCATTCCATTTTGCACCCGTATTGATCTGTTGGCAGCAATGGGCTGGATAATTAGCCAGGAATTAGGGTTTCTATTACAGCCAGGAGGCTGCTCCAGCTGATTTATCACCTGAATAATTTACTGTGATTGAAAGGAAATTAAAATGAACTCCATTTGACAACTGTGAGCTTTTATGGGCTTTAGTGAAGGCTCAAAAGCCAGATTAATAGCCTGGTGTTGGTTAATAGTCTGCCGAGGGTAAATACTGCAGTCTGCTTGCACTCTGCGGCCTTCCTGTGGTGGCCGGAGGAGGGACCCGCTCCACCAAAGCCAGTACCCATGACAGCCCAGCCAGCATCAAGGCAAGTTTTACTGAAACAAATTCTACTACTGCGGTGTCAGCAAACACACACACACACACACACACACACACACACATACCACCACCACCACCACCACCACCACCACCTACATATACACGCAGGCTATGCACACATTCACCACCATTTGTCCCTTCACCCCACCCCACCCCACCCCAAGTTGATTTTTACTCACTCTCCATAAAGGGAAAACAGAATTGCTTTTTCAATAACCATTTGGAAAAAGGAAGTGTTTCAAGGTTTGGAAAGTTTCTAGCCATTACTACTGAATAGATTTTTTCCATGCTGTTTTCCATTTTTCATCTGAAACACTCACCTAGCTGCCTAGGTGCCTCTGTGGCACAAACCTCTCAGGGAATGGCTGTGAGAGAGCAAGCATGACCACTTGACTAGTTCACTGGACTGAGGAGCATGAACTGTCGGGGGCCCTCCTGGCTGCTCCTTAGTCCTGGGGAATAAGTGGTATAGTACTGTGAGTAGTATAGTATTGCCCATAGGAGTGGGTCTCTATTAACATCTGCCACCAGGGCAAAAGGTTTAGCAAGTTTCTCTATGACAGCCCAAGCCAGGGCTACACACACAAGGCAGAACTGGGAAAAGCAGTAAGATGAGGAGGCTCTAAGTTCCCATTAGTGACGAGCAGAACCCCAGCATGTCTCTGAACAGGAATGCTTCTCCAGGGAGATGGAGTAGGTAATTCAGCAGATTGTGACCTCCCTAAGCCAAGGGAGGACCCTGAGAGTTCTGGAACATCCCACAGGCTCTGCCTTCAGAAGGCCACCTGCATGTTAGCAGATCCCCGCAGCCACAGGGGCCTATGGCACCACTTTACACAATATGGGACAGAAGGTTCAAAGTCTGATTCCAGCTCTGTGGCCCCTATAATCCTGAAAATGGGGTGAACAATCCAGAGAGATGTTCTAATCCACTCAAGGGGGAATCACAAACTGCCCAGCCTGCTTAGCCAGCATGTCAATGAAAGAGCCAATGAAAGGTTACATGTGAAAGAACTTTGAAAAGTGACAGCTATCAACATGTGTAAGGAAGATCTCTGTGGTCACTGTAGGATGCTATTGCTGTCACCTCCAACCATGATAACTAAGACCATCGCTATGAAAAGCAAGGTCCAGATAAAGCACCTTGTTCAACCTAGCAGAGCCAGGACTAAATCAAGCCAGCAGAACCTCCACCCAGGCCTCTAGGCCCCAGAGACACATAAGCTCACGTAGCTTGATGTGTATGCGAATGAAAGAAGTAGGCAGCCTCCACAGCCCGCAGCTCAGGGCCTCCTTCCCGTGTCACCTCCATGCCACTCTGGGGCTCACAAGGCAGATCCCATGGGCAGGAGGAGACTCAAGGAACCTGTACCCTTGACCTGCATCCTTGCTCATCTGCAGCCCCTTGCTCCTGCCATCATTTGTCCAGATTGATTGGGAACGGGGTGTGAGGGTATGTCATTCATAGTCCAGTGCCTGTGTGTGAACAGGCCAGCTCCACAGCCTCACCTTCCATCTCTCCTCATTACCACATGCCATTGGGAGGTGACACAGATTAACCAGAAAACACTGAGTCAGTCATTATCGTTCAGATTGTTCAGTCTGCCTGCTGGCCCCGCCTCAGAGCTCACAGAGAGACAGGCTGGTGACATGCCCGCAACACTCTGAAGGACACTGCTAGAAAAAAGTCCTCACCAAACTTGTAATGCAGGGCTCTTTCCTGTCCTTCAGGACCACAACCATGTCCCCTCCTCAGTACCCTCGCTCTTGATACTCCTAATTCTTTCTCTCAACACTGCATCAGGACCCATAGAAACTACACTCTTGTTCATGGCCTCCAAGTTCATGGCAGGCTGCTCCTGTGAACTATGGGCAGAGCTGGCACCTGATTCATCCTCATCCCTCTTATGACTGGCACTATGCCAGGCCTGAATACAAGAAATATGTCTGAGTGAGTAATGAGAGAGTAAGTTGAATAAGACACATGGGTGGCTTCAGAACTCTTCTTCCTTCAGGTCAGCCTCACTGTCACTATGCAGTCTTTCCTAATATCTGGTGTTACGTGAAGCAGGTCTCTCAGAACCTCGGTTTCCTTGTGAATCTTGTGAAGTGCAGAGAATTTCTCTGACCCAAAATGACTATGTTCACCCTTCACCACATACTTCCTAAGCAGCTTCACACAGCTCTGTCCTCTCTCAGCCTCCAAACAATGAGAGAGTTGAAGGCTTGCTTCGCTTGTCCCTGCTAGCCCTAAAGTTATGTGATTATGACAAACTGTCATAAGATTGTAGCCTTAGAGGCCTTCCTTACTTCTCAGGACCCAGGAGAACCTCTAGACCTTCCTCTCCATGAGAGTTTACACAAATGGGCTACATTGCTTTAAATGTTCTGTGGGAAAATTCCAGGAGCATCATCTGATTAGCATTAAGGAGAGGCTCAGTGAAGCCAGTGCTGCCATCAGTACCGGCTGAGAAAGTGCTGGGGACAGTTATTGCTTATAGGCTCTGTCCCATTCAATAGATGGCTACTCTTAGCAGCTAGAACAATGTCTATGTTGCCCATGGCTATAAGGTGGCCCCCTGAGGACCTGGCATAGACAGGGCATCAGGAACTATTGTTCTGAATTGAACTTGGCATTTTTCTGACCATATTCAGGCCCTGAGATTTTTTTCAATAAGCTCTTTCAGTAAGATCTTGCTGGTCCCATCTATACAGGCAGTGACTGACTCCTCTGCACAGGGACAGCAAGCCAGTTATACAACAAGGGTCCTCTGGTTTTTTTCCCTCTCTTCTAATGCCCCGTAAAGGAGCTTGTCTAATGACAGACTTCTTCATTGCCGATTCCCTTGGATGTTACAGACTCTAATAGCATGTCAGGGTGATCTGACAGAAGGCCTGGCACTTTATGGCTGTGAGACACCCCCCAGGACAAATGGTGATTATATATTTGGAATATTACCCTGGATGATAGAAGAAAGACCCAAGACCACCTCAAGTGGCCCAGTGATAACTATACCCCCTGGTCCAGGGAATCCTGAGAAAGGACTATTGAGCAATGGCAGAGCAGTCAAACCAGTCACTTGCCCCCTGGCTGACCAGAGAAAGAGGTGCCAGAGACCACTGACCATTCCAAACAAGTCCCACTGGGATGTGGAGACTGGCCATGTTTGGCCAAGAACAATGAGAAGCCCATTCTGAGTAGCATCTCTCAAATGCCCCTGCCTCCAGGTAGCCAGCTGAGTGACCCAGGCCTGAACTATGGTGGCAGAAGCTGTGAGTGTGCATCATGAGCGTACCTGCTCTGGCTTGATGGGCTCCGTGGTGGTGAAGATGTCCGAGTAGTGCTGTCTCTCAAACACACGGTCCAGCACCTCTAGCTGCTGCTGCGTGAACAGGTCTCCCCGCATCTGCTTCCGGAGGAAATCTCTGCCTGGAAGTGAGTGGCCATTGGGCACCGGAGACTCTTGAATGCCTTTGATGAGTGTGAGAGAAGAAGGGTAAGGTAAGGTTACACAGCTTGCTAAAGGAACACAGCTTAGACCCTGAGACTTGGAAGAGATCCTGGCCACCCTCCAGCCCACTCCTTCCCATTGTTGTAATATCATCCACCAAAAGGACTTCAGCATAACTGAGCCAAAACCAGCACTATGCCCTTGAACTTCCAGAACTGTGAGCTAACTCAACCTCTTTTTCTTTATAAAGTTACTTCCCTGAAATATTTCATATGGTAACAAAAGCTGGACAAAATATAGGACATCATTATTTTCCCCATTTGTCAGATGAGAAAATTGAGACCTAGAGACATTTGATGATCTGCCTGAGATTAGAGCTGAGGTTGATTCAGAAGCTTCATTAGAGGTATTACTGCTCCTTCTATTCTGAAATTCACTCTGGTGGTACCATTTTCCCCAGAGCTAATGTCCTCACCCAGTACAACTGCCACCACATAATATGACCATTCAATAAAACACTGTTCTGGAAAGGCAATAGGGAAACAGACATTCTCATACAGGTGGTCATACACCTATGCAAGGCAATTTGACAAAATCTATCAAAATCACAAGTATATGTTCCCTTTGATAGAGTGATTGCATGACAGGGGATTTATTTTACAGCCTCATTTACACATATGGAAAGTGATGTATGGACAAGGTTGTTAAAGTAAGAGACTGGAAGCAACCCAAGGTTATTTTACAGGGGATTGGTGAAACAAGCCATGTGCATAACGAATAGTCTGCACAGTAAGGACCACAGGCTCCTCTGTGAGTCAGCATGGAAAGATTTTCCAGATACATCCTTAGCTGAAAAATGAGCACGGTACAGACAGCACATTGCACATAACACATAGCACTTTGCTTAAAATAGGAAGAAAATAAGGCTGTATAGTACATATTTTTATAAACTCATTTTTATATTATACAAGCCTTATTTTCTAGCGCATGGACTATAACAAAAAGTACTACACACAACAATATTCATATAGAGATGAATGATATAGGAGAAACATTTACAGCAGAACCTCGTTCTGGGAGGTAGGAACTGAGTAGATGAGGTAAGGCGGGGGAGAGTATTTTCACAGCATATTTATCCCTGTTTGATTTTAGAATTTTAAACATGTTAGTTATTTGGAAACATAAGGGTTTTGTTCTTTAAAAAAAAAAAAGCCTGGGGGCTGGGAAGGTGGCTCAGTGGTAGAGCGCTTGCCTTGCATGCATGAGGCCCTGGGTTCGATTCCTCAGCACCACATAAGCAAAAAGAAAAAAGCCGGAAGTAGCACTGTGGCTCAAGTGGTAGAGAGCTAGCCTTGAGCTGAAGAGCTGAGGGACAGTGCTCAGGCCCAGAGTTCAGGCCCTACGACCGGACCAAAAAAAAAAAAAAAAAGGCCTGGTGTTGGTGGCTTATGCCTGTAATCCTAACTACTCAGGGCCTTGAGATCTGAGGACTATAATTCAAAGCCAGCCCAAGCAGGAAAGTTTGTGAGACTCATTTCCCATCAACTACCAAAAATCAGGAAATAGAGCTGTGGCTTAAAGTGGTAGAGTGCTAGCCCTAAGCATAAAAGCTCATGGACAGCACTCAGATCCTGAGTTCAAGCTCTAGGACTGGCACACACACACACACACACACACACACACACACACACACAAAATATGGTAGGATATATCTATAATCCCAACAATTTCAGAGGTGGAGACAGATAGATCACAAGTTGGAGGCTACCCTGGGCTACATAATAAGACCCTGACTCAAAAATAAAATAAAAACAAATGTCAAATACAAATGAAAACCCAGAAACATCAGTTAAGAAAGTGCAAGATTAGATTCTCTGCTTTCTGCAGTTTTAGCTATTCACTCTATAAGTCTTTGGTGATGATGCTTACAAATAGGATAAAATAACTTTTGGAAGTCTTGGGCTTGACCTATGAATGATGAAAGCAAGTACAGAAGACAAAGATTCTGGAAAGGCAATGACCTTGGGTCTACCATTCTTTGTGACTCTCTACCATTTATTGTCCCTGGGGGCCTGACTAGAGATAGTGGAAACCCAGGCTGAGGTAGAGCATCTGCCTATGGTGTCAGGAAGCCACAAGGGCACCTGCTCTCATATTGAAAGGTGCCCTGGCACCAGGCCTTATCCAGATCCCACCCCTGCCATTATAGCTGTCCTACATGTCACCCACTGGGAAAAAAAATCCCACCCATGTGAGGAATGAGATCAAACAAAGGAGCATAAAGCAACAGGATATCCTGTCACTGAGAATCAGCTACAAGTTGAGACTTCTTCAACTGCACCCTACAAAGTGAAGACACCAATTCCTGGCATTCATATGAGTATTAGCTTTTCAGAGTCCCCATGGAGGGTGGCAGGCTCAGGGCACCCAAATTTTGAGTAGGGAAGGGCCTTCAAAAGTGGCTTACAAGCTCCCTGAGAAAACAGATTCCACTTCAATTTTAACCCCAGACGATACCATAGGCAGGGCTCAGTCTAAATCATCAGATACCTCCACAAGATAGAAGCTGGTCTGTCTCATGAGTCCCAGAATAAAACCCAGGTGTCTCTTCTGACAGCCTGTGACACTGACCTTCAAGACAGATGCTTGTCAGGCACCGGTGGCTCAGGCCTGTAATCCTAGCTACTCAAGAGGCTGAGATCTGAGGATCATGGTTCAAAGCCAGCCCGGGCAGGAAAGTCTGTAAGACTCTTATCTCCAATAAACCACTAGAAAACCGGAAGTGGTTCTGTGGCTCAAGCCATAGCCTTGAGCTGAAGAGCTCAGGGACAGCGCCCAGGCCCAGAGTTTAAGAGCTCAGGGACAGCGCCCAGGCCCAGAGTTCAAGCCCCATGACTGACAAAAATAAAAGACAGATGCTTGTTCTTGCCCACAGGACATTATCCATAGGCCCTCCTTCCATCAAGGCCTATTTTATGGATACCATTTGCCTGGTTCCCAAGACTAGTAGGATGCGGGAGCTCCCAGCCTAGTCTGTACATATACACACACACATCACACCTCACATACACACATGTTACAAATACACCACACACAGGCATCACACTCATGCAACCCACACACATATACTAACACCATGCATACACCATACATGCATACTCACATATACACACACATACACACCACACATAACACACACATCACATGTACAATACATACCTCTCTCTTTCTCTCTCAGGAAGATGGCTCAACTTAATTCTACTCAGCTACTGTTCTTTCAGGCCATTTGGTAGTTTCAGTCACTCCTGGCACAATTTGACCTCTACCTCAGTCCCCAGAGCCTCCACTGAATTTCTAACTGCCAGAGAAGATCATTTCCTGTCTACTTACTTCAATTAACTAACCCATCCTGTAGCCTTCCAGCAGGCCCACAACTCCTCCTAAGTCTCCTTCTTGCCAGCCAGTTCTCCCACCAAGGCCTCACTAGCTTCCAAGTGGGCCAAACCTCACCCCTCACCCCCATTCTGCTTTCTCTCCACTCAAGTTGCTCTACTAGATATGCCATGCTCTGACCTTCAAGAGAAGTCTCTCCTCACCAGTCAGGCCCTCTCTGCAATGGCCTCAGGTTCTTTGGGGTTCACATCCTGGGCTCCTTCCATAGCTCAAAGCCCTGGAAAGGCAGAGCCCGCCTCCACTGAAATCCAGAAAGGTGGCTCCACTCAGGGTTCCTACCAACAAGGACACTCTCTCACACCAAGCAGAGCCTAGCACAGAGACTCTTGGCTCAGAGATATCTCCAATGTATGCACAGGGGGTCCTTGGGAAAATTCTGTTCTGAAGGCACTTGTCCAAGACTTAACCAGCCCTTCTATGCTTGCTTTCTTGGGGAGGGAAATGACAGGAAAGGAAGTGGCATCATTCACTCCTTCATACAGAAGATGCTAAAGTTTGTCATTTCTTTAATAAGGCTTAGGACACATAATCACATAGTCATGTATGCATTAATCTAACAAATACTGATCAAATGTTTACTCTGGACTAGTGATATTTAAAAAATAAAAATTTGAGCTGGGCATTGGTGACTTATACTATACTTGCAATTTTAGCTACTCAGAAGGCTAAGATCTGAAGATCATGACTTAAAGCCAGACCAGGCAGGAAAGTCCATGAGATTCTTATCTCCAATTAACCACCAAAAGTCTGGAAATAGAGCTGTGGCTCAAGTGGTAAAGTGCTAGCCTTAAACGCAAAGCTCATGGACAGAGCTTAAGCCCTGAGTTCAAGACCCAGGACTGGCATATAAACAAACAAATAAATAAAGAACAAATAAACACTTAAATATTGAACATAAAATAAACAAAAACAGGACAGAATAATGAGTAACACAGGCTTCCTCTTGTAATCTAGAGAGGGTGTCTAATACCAAATAATCATACACATAAACAGGTGATTACAAACTGTGATAGATGCTAAGTAGAAAAAAGTATGTAAACATGTACATATATGATAATGGGAGGAATCAAGGAAGGCTTTAAGAGGAAGCCATGTTTGAACTAAAAGTAGAGGATGAGAATTGAGTGGAGAGAAAAGGGAATGCAAGGCAACAAAGACTGCTGCTCCAGGCTCCAAGCTAAGAATGACATGAAAGAAACAGAGAACTAGAGGTATAGTTCAATGGTACAATCCCTGCCTAGCAAGTTCTGAGTTCAAACCCAGTGTGGGAAAGAAAGAAAGAAAGAAAGAGAGTGGGGAGGGAGGGAGGGAGGAAGGGAAGGAGGAAGGGAAGGAGGAAGGGAAGGAGGGAGGGTGGGTAGGCAGAAGAGAAAAGGAAGAAGAGAGAAAAAAGGCAGGAAGGAGAAAGGCAGGCAGGCAGAAAGGAAGGAAGGAAGGAAGGAAGGAAGGAAGGAAGGGAGAGAGGGAGGAAAGAAGGAAGGAAGAGAGAGGGAAAGGAGAGAGGGAGAGAAGGAGGAAAGAAAGAGAAGGAAGAATAGAGAGTGAAATGGAATAAGAGAGGGAGGGA